GAGTTAAATTTGCGTCTCCGTTATCTGATTCTGGGTCAGTCAACTCACAAAGGGGCACTCTTATATCATCTTTGGGCAAGACATCTGCTCTCCAAGCGTTATCAACTAAATCTACCAAATAGCCTTCTATACGTACTTGACTATCCATTAAAGAAGCAATTTATTTAAGATTAATTTCTTGAAATTATCCTAAAACCCTAAAAAGTTGCCAAGCAGAAGTAAGGTTAAGATAACAAAAAATAAATTAGCAAGTCATTTTTTGTAACAAATAAAATATTACTAATGAGATGTTAATTACCTTAATATTAATTTTACACTTCGTAAATAGTGATGTTTTCTTTGATTGGTAAGGTAATATAAAATTCCACTTGCTAAAAACACTTACACGGTCAACACCATGTCAACACGGTGACGAAGCTATCTATGGGTGACATAGACAAGATGGGTGACGAATCATCCATAGATAAGCGAATTATAGAAATCGAAGGTCGAAAGTAATACACCGCATACGGATTTCTATGCAACAACCGAATCAGAATATGTTTATTTAAATGCATCGTAATTGGTTGTTTCTGGATTTTGGAAATTCTATATAAATATAATATGGTTTACTCTATAATGCAAAGGCTTTTTTTATTTATTAAATGGAATAATAAAAAAAGAAAAAATTAATTTCATGCATAATTAATTCGGATTTTTAGTAGGTCTTAGAATTTATTTTGGAATTTTTACCGATTTTGAATGCCCTATAAGTTGAAAATCAATAATTTTTACTTTCCTAATTAAAAGCTAGTATACTACTTTAGGACTTAACTAACGCAAAATGAACAGAAAATATGAATAATTTTAATTAAATTACATTTCTAATTAATTTACCCTACCTCTACGCCAATGTTTGATTATAACATAAAGCAAAATCAATAATTAATCTCTTTATAAACTAAAAGTATCTCATAATATACGTTCTGTTAGATTTTAACCATGGGTTTCTAGGTATCACTGTAGTTTTTTTTGTTGAAAAATGGAGTAACGGCTTGTGAAAGGGGAAATCCCGTAAAATCGCTATAAGACACTTGATGATGAATCATATAAAAATTAATTTACTGTAAGTAACAGGTAAAGTAAAAGCAAAGCACTGCACTGGATTATAATGAGTATACTGAAACAAGTGGTTTTTACTTTCAAATCAAATTAATTGGAATCTTGTGCGTGTGTGTAAATCTACATTACTTTTATTTATCACACACGTATTCAGACATGTATACATACATACATATATATTAATGATATGATTGAATGGTTGAACGCTTAACGACAACACAATAAAAGGCATTCCCATAAAATATTTGTATTTTTCTGTACGTTGTAAGACGAGAAACCGACTGAGTTTACGCGACTACTTACAATGTACAATGTACAATTCACGTTTGTAAAACAACAGTTGCGCGTATACCACGAACGAACAAATCCAAAAAGCAGTGATGTGATTTGATTTACGAAAATAAAAAAATTTATGAAATATTATCGTCAATAAATTCTAAATTATGTGTCTTCAATTATTTTAAATACAATTTTGTTATTACTGTGAAAGTGCGACCTGTGTTTAAGTAATACAATAAAATCTGTAGAATGGATAATCATAGTAAAAATGACTCTACAAATGCCACGAAACCACTGCTGATACCTAATATTTCGTCTTCGTATAACAATGGAGAGTTGCAAATAACAAACAGCAACAAATCATGTATCAAAAGGGACACTCAAAGGGTGCTAAAGCGAGGTAACATTGTTGCAGTTATTTTTTTTATTTTTAAAAACAAATTTTTGTTTTCATATATATCTATAAATGTTTTTTATGTGTACCTATATGCATTTTTAATTAGATATTTAAATATTTAAAAATCAGATTGTAATTTATAGCTGTTTCGTCATTATTATTTTATATATAATTATTCATTCACTTCTTATCGCTTATCTGTATGACTAAATTATGTCTAAAAGAAAAAAAGAAATATAATTTTTCATAATCCCTTGGAAGAAAATTAAAAGTTTGTCACAAGCAAGTCACATGTAATGTTCTGGTTGTAGCATAATTTAAAATATTTGTTGACTGTATCTTTTTCGTTACTTTGTCTTTCAATAATTAAACCAGTTTTCATACTGACATACATTTACCCTATTGTCATTATAAAAAGAACTAGTTTGGCACAGTTGTCATATATATAAAACGTAGCTATCAAACTTATATTACAAATTACATCAAAATAAAATTTTTATTTTGTGAACATTTTCACTTAAAACTGAAATCTGAATTGTGGCATAAAACATGTTTTCTCTCTTCGTGTTAATTTGATAAGAAATGTTATCGCTTTTATTTATAATATGGTTTGTTTTACAGATGTCCTATATACAAACTTACATTACTTTTTCTATCATAATATAAGTATTTAGCATTATAATTACAATAATAAAAGGATACGAATTGCATTTGATTGCAATAAAAGTTGTCGTTTCAAGTGATTCGGTATATAATTTTTCTTTTAAATTTTAAATTTTTATAATTACATAGTCAATTTATAATCGAAGTTGGAACATAATAATGTAATACTTTAATATTCATCTAATATGTAGGTCGTTTACGATCGATAAGAAGTCAATAAAGCCTTTTGTGATCGTAGTCAAATAAACACTTCTCTCAAATGATAACGGTTCACGTATCATCAACTTTTTAAAATTTGCGTAATATGTATTGAGTTGTTAATCTGATTTTTTACTTTTTTCATATTTTGTCAATAAGCTACAATATTTGGAAAAAGGAAAATAAAATTTTTGTAGTTGAATTGCGAACGTTCCCTTTTTCCTATATAAAAAATAACTTAAAAAGTATATAATTACTGTTGAAAATGATAAGTTTTGATAATATAATAAGAAATAAT